CTGTTGGACAGTGTATCTCGATGTGGTGAAAAGAAAGCATTATGCAGCTCTGAAATGTTTGAATAAACAGTTTTAAAGATTTCGCCAAGTAAGATTCAGCTCCAGAACTATCCACAAAATATTAGATGGTTAAAAGCTGCGTCCGGTTTTGATAAGAATGTTTGGTAGCTGTGCGTCTATATGACGGCGTCTCAAACTGTAATGTGATACCGACTCGGTTTTGATAAAAATGTTTGGTAGCTGTGCGTCTATATGACGGCGTCTCAAACTGTAATGTGATACCGACTTGGTTTCCCGTGAGGGATGGTGTCGGTGATCATCTCACCAGTCCTAGAAAGTCTTTTGTCCTGTCCATTAGCACCGTGGGAGTCTGTTTGGTTCATATTTGCTGTATGCAATAAAGCTTTATCATCCTCGTGTGTTCTGTCGTAGTTTCATCTCTTGTTCAAAAACCAGTGGACCCTTGAAGATCCGGTTGGAATTGGTCTTCAGCAACTCATGCTTGTAAGAGGCGACTAACGGATCAGATGGTCAGACTCGCTGACTTGGCTGACACATGTCATCGTATCCCAAATGCATAGATCGATATTTATGATGTTGATCACTGGATTGCCTGGGCCAGTCTCGATTATTTAAAGACTGCCGCCATATAGCTGGAATATTGCTGAGACTGGCGTTTAACACCCACCAACCAACCTGAGTGAGTTTAGTTTTACGCCGCTTGTAACTATATTACAACAATATCACGGCGGGAGACACTAGAAGTGCGCTTCACACATTGCACCCTTGTGGGGAAGCGAACCGGTTATTTCGCGTGACGAACGAACGCTTTAACCACTAGGCTACCCCACCGCCCTGTTCAAGAACTCGAGTGTTGTGAATCATGTATGGAGCACCATTGCACGATGGTGGCCTGTAAATAATGGACTATGGACCCGACAGGTACCATCTGTGTACCCATTACGAATCGTCTGTCCACTCCGCTGACACCTCTAGCTTTGAGAAGCTCAGAGGCGATGGGGAACTTGAGTAGTTAAAGCGTCCGCTTGTCACGATGAAGACCCAGGTTCGATTCCTCAGAACAGTGTGAAGCCCATTTCAGGTGTCCACCGCCGTGGTATTGCTGGAATATTGCTAAAAGCGGCGAAAAACCACACTCACTCACTCAATCGCTGTGAAGCTCATCTTCAGTTTGAGAGGCAATGTGACCACTGTTTGGAAACGGTCGTTCTGATGAAAGGTTCCTGTGCTCCAGTTGTCGCCCTTGGTCGACCAGACCAAAGTCTACGATATTTGTCAATATCGTGATTGCAATCTGCTAATTACTGATTGTTCGTACCACAATGCTGGTCCAATACACCAATTGCACGTAGCTGTTCCTGACTGACGTCGCATGTCAAAGAAGACATTCAATTGAGTAAAAACAGTGTCAGAACAACTTTCAGTCTGGTTTTGATCGTGATCTGTACAGCAACACACAAAGTTTAGAAAGTTCACGTGCATATTATGAAGTTAACATTTAGTGCACAGAATTCTTAACACGTTGTAAATGGATTAATCATTCTCGAAATCAATAATCCATACAAAGTCGTACAACTTGGTTTCCAAATAATACCACCCCAAAATTGACCCCCTACTTTGAAAATACATTTTAAAATGAGAATGGCGACTTTGTGACAGAATTTTCAAAGTTATCTTCCAAATTTTCGTAAAGATCTGATATCTAGAATAGGTAGGTAGGGTAGTCGAGTGGTTATTAAGCGTTTTGCTCTCGTCACGCCGAAGACCCGGTTCGATTCCCCACATGGGTACAATGTGTGAAGCCATTTCTGGTCTCCGCCGCGATATTGCTGGAATATTGCTAAAAGCGGCGTAAAAATCAAACTCACCCACTCTATCATATCTAGAAATAACATACAGGCAAAACACTCGTACCCAAATGAGCAGAGCGTTGAATGGCGTTGATGTTTGGCGCCCTTGAAACAACCAGTTATTTTTCCTATCTCCCGCTGAACAAACAGAAGAGTTCAGCCCGGTCCCACCTAATTTTGAGGCTATATGTTCATGAAACAAACAGATTGACAACCGTATATGTACATGTATATGTGAGGTATGCTCTTTTGGGCGTGTTTTTCTTCCGATGGTTCAAGTTTCCAGCTTCTTTGAAATTCACGGTCACGTGAGTATTTTCGGTTTACCAACCGCTTTTGAGCAATATTCCGGTTAGGCATTTTGGGGGCGGTCCGTATTCTTTTCTGTGTTTGAATCTTTGGGTACAATGTGTGATTCAACCCGCCGTGATATATCATATATTTCATTTTACGAAGTGATAAAGTGAGACTTTTTTCTGTTTCAATTCAGAACGATAAAACAAAAACAAGACTTTTCCCTTGCACAATCACAAAAAGTTCACGTCAGCTGACCCGTGAAGATCCGGGTTAGAATTGATCTTCAGTAACCCATGCTTGTCGTAAGAGGCGACTAACGGGATCGGGTGGTCAGGCTCGCTGGCTTGGTTAACGCATGTCATCGTATCCCAATTGCGTGGATCGATGCTCATGCTGTTGATCACTGGATTGTCTGGTCCAGATTATTTACAGATCGCTACCATGTAGCTGGAATATTGCTGAGTGCAGCGTAAAACTAGCGCACTCGCGTCAGCTTGAGATAAGTCTTTATATACTACAAACAAAAAGTATGGGAACACCTTAAAATTTCATAGTCATCTGCATAAACTTAAACGTGGTGAGGTCATTTATACATGCACTAAGCTGTTGTGTTTGGGCGTTTGAATCAAACATGGTGCTGGTGTGTTTCAGCACCCTTGTTTTTCGCCGTTTTTGACAATGTTTCATTTCACACAAACTCAACTAATATTGAATCAATTGCTTCACTGCATGTTCTAACATGTCGTTTAAAGTGCCCATTAAGCATACAAAAAAAAGTTGCATTTACCTTAGTGTATAAATGACCTTACCACGTTTAAGTTTATATATGACTATCAAATCTTCGGGTGTTCCCATACTTTTTGTTTGGAATATATTTCCGAAGCAAAGCGACACGATTCATAAATTACCAAACTTTAAGATTTCATGCAATAAGTTACACGATTATTTAAATACGGGGTTTTTTTTCATTTTTTCCCGTTTATTTGTTTCGCCCGCCTGCTCTGTTGTTGGTCGAGGTTGGAGATGAGGAACACAGAACACATGCGACAGTTTTGTATCATGGATTGTCAGCTAAATGTGACGCTAAGTGTGACGAGTATCATGGATTGTCAGCTAAATGTGACGCTAAGTGTGACGAGTATCATGGATTGTCAGCTAAATGTGACGCTAAGTGTGACGAGTATCATGGATTGTCAGCTAAATGTGACGCTAAGTGTGACGAGTATCATGGATTGTCAGCTAAATGTGACGCCAAGTGTGACGAGTATCATGGATTGTCAGCTAAATGTGACGCCAAGTGTGACGAGTATCATGGATTGTCAGCTAAATGTGACGCTAAGCGTGACGAGTATCATGGATTGTCAGCTAAATGTGACGCTAAGCGTGACGAGTATCATGGATTGTCAGCTAAATGTGACGCTAAGCGTGACGAGTATCATGGATTGTCAGCTAAATGTGACGCTAAGTGCTGACGAGTATCATGGATTGTCAGCCAAACGCTGTGACGCTATCATGGATTGTCAGCTATGTGACGCTAAGTGTGACGAGTATCATGGATTGTCAGCTAAATGTGACGCTAAGTGTGACGAGTATCATGGATTGTCAGCTAAATGTGACGCTAAGTGTGACAAGTATCATGGATTGTCAGCTAAATGTGACGCTAAGTGTGACGAATATCATGGATTGTCAGCTAAATGTGACGCTAAGTGTGACAAGTATCATGGATTGTCAGCTAAATGTGACGCTAAGCGTGACGAGTATCATGGATTGTCAGCTAAATGTGACGCCAAGTGTGACGAGTAACATTTTAATCACCAACGGCGCTGCAAATCGAGTTGCGTCCCTTTGGGCACGCCAGTAGCTTTGATTGTGGGTTCGCATCCAGGGCCTAGATTTTCGAAACTCTCTTAGCGCTAAGACAGTCGTAAATTAATGTTAATGTATGCCACTTACGACTATCTTAACGCTAACTGAGCTTGGAAAATCAAGGCCCTGTTTCCTACTACTGATTGGCCTTTGTCACCATAACTGGAAGATATATTTGATTTCCGATCAAGATGCCTTGAATCAGCTTCCCCAACACCCCTCTTAATCCTTGGAATCAACTTCTCTAATCCTTGAATCAACTTCCCACCAACACCCCCTCTAATCTTTGAATCAACTTCCCATCAACACCCCTCTAATCCTTGAATCAACTTCCCACCAACACCCTCTCTTCCTTGATCAGACTTCCCACAGCACCCCTCTAATCCTTGAATCAACTTCCCACCAACACCCCTCTAATCCTTGAATCAACTTCCCACCAACACCCCTCTAATCCTTGAATCAACTTCCCACCAACACCCCTCTAATCCTTGAATCAGCTTCCCACCAACACCCCTCTAATCCTTGAATCAACTTCCCACCAACACCCCTCTAATCCTTGAAACCAGCCCACCAACACCCCTCTAATCCTTGAATCAACTTCCCACCAACACCCCTCTAATCCTTGAATCAGCTTCCCACCAACACCCCTCTAATCCTTGAATCAGCTTCCCACCAACACCCCTCTAATCCTTGAATCAACTTCCCACCAACACCCCTCTAATCCTAAGTACTTTTGAGAGTATATATTTTTTCTTGTTATAAATCAAAGTAGTCTACAATGAAATTCTGACTTTGAACCTGTGAACCTGTGTTTGAGCCCTTTTCGGTAACGAAAATCCACACATAATTTCTGCTGAATCCATTCAGCCATTGCGAGTAGAAAATGCAACACATTTCTGGACGACTTGCTATGTTACAAACTCGGTCTTTCAGGTCAGGTGCATTAACATCACACGGGAACACAACTGAATTAATTAGGTTTATAAAAATCAAATGTCAGTACAACATGTTTACATAATATGATATACTTCATGAGAAACCTTCCAGAGTAAACGGAATAAAGATCAAATTTAACAAAGCAGGAACCAACTGATTAACAAACGTCAAAACAGGTCCGAACTCAGACCCAGTACTGTTTCTTGTCAAGAACAGGCACAGAGAACTTTACCTTCCGTCCTGGCAAAGCACTCAGGTCATAGCCATGAACATTCTGGTTCTCATCAAGCACCTGTTTGTCTGTTCCCACAGAGGGAATGGGTATCCCACTGGGCCCCGTCAGTCGATACAGGGGTGGCGTGGTGGGCCACGCCCCCTGCCACTGAACACGAGACTGAGGCCGAAACGCAAGAACGAGTCCCCGAAGACGTTTGAGCGGAGACATTGATGCTACGGAACAAATCGACTTCAACGCTGTATGCTTTATATCCAGGAACAACTTCGACGCTTGCTCGACGGGTTTCGGGGGCGCTGACTGACCTCGACCTTGGGTCGAGATGGTAGGTCCTCATGTCGTCGCTGTTGAGGGAGTGAAGGGTGTTTGTTCTGGACGCTGCTTGGGTTCCGATGGAGGTGGAACTGCTTCCAACACACGGATACATGGAGGTATTGTCGGAGTAGTGGTCGGAGACCTCGATGCTACTGGACACGGTGAAATTAAGCCTCATTGGGGAACAGTTCCGGGTACTGGCGAAAGGGTAGTTTGGGGTGTTGTTATGGCGACTGGCGTGGAATCGCGAGATGCTGCTAGGGAGGCTGAGGGTCCCACTGGAAGCAGCACTACCCGACGATGACTGTCCATTATTCAACACTTGCGCGTGGCTACTTTCGGGGACAGTGATGGATGATATTTCGGCTCCATCGAAAGACGTTGGCAAGGGTTGTATGGTATGGTACGGCTTTGACGGGTACACGCCGTCGGGATGTTCCATAGCTGCAGCAACGTTGCCGCTTTTCTCAGAGTCCATGTCGTACTCCGTAGTCGGGGTGTTGTTGTTGGGGAAGTAGGGAGAGCTCATGGCGTTACACTCATCGCAGTACACGTTCCCGACCAATTTCCCTGGCGCTGAGAAGCACGGATTCTCGACACCTTTCAGAACGTCGAGCCTGCTGTCGGTGCCACTCGTTTTGGGCGTTCCCCAGCTCACCTGTACAGCTGGAACCAGTGGTATCTCTCCATCGTCTTCACTGCGCTCTGCCATCGTGACCATTGTATCCACCGATCTGTGGTGAGGCCTCTCGTCTATAGGCGACAACTTCCTTGCCAACGTTGCCACAGTCCTCGTCTCTTCCTCAGCCCGCAAGAAGAATTTTGAGTTCTGACGTCGGAAAGGAACCGTTGGCACTCTCTCGCACGTGCTAGAACCACGTGATCGCTGTGACTCGATTGATCTCATTGACATTCTGGTTTCGCCCGACCTCTCGTATGGCATCATGTCCGGTGGTCGTTGCTGGGAAATGAAGTGACGCATGCGTCGTTTCTCTTTCCACGACTGCCAGTACAAACAGGAAGCTATGGCGACGAGAAACAGACCAATCAGAATGAGCGGTGCAACCACGCCCCAACTGATGCCTTCACTGACGTAACGGATGTTGACGGGAAGCGTGGTTGTGAGAGACGCTGCAGAGTCGGTCAAGGACGATATTGATGACAGGTATTCTTCAACAGTCATGTTGATGTTCTGCTGACGTAGAATAACAGCTATCCGTTCGTGCATATGTACGTCATTTTGGAAGGTGTTGTTCAAAACGGGGTCCATTGTCATATTATTTTCTCTGCTCGTTGGCATATTGGAATATTCCATTACGATGGAATATCCCCGATGTGAGATCAAAAACGAGTATATTCTTCAACGAAACTTCCTTTTCGACGGCCTCCATGAAACATCCTGTTCCTTTAACGAGTTCACGTGGTATAAATATCACGCTCAATTCGATTCTCTTAGGACGGTCCATATTATTTAGAGGGATCACGTTTGAAATTAATACACATTTTGCCCGTAGACTGATGATAAAATATTAACTGGCATTAACGTCTCTTTTGTTTATATCTTTATAGTGGTCTTTTCTAAAAGTAAACACAATAAATTTCAAGTTTAAAAGGCAATAAAAAATTGGCATAATAAACATCACCCTTATTGTTCTAAATGGGATCTCCAATCTTACAGCGTCCGTCGCGCACGTGGAAAACATGGCTAATGTGATTTGAAATTAACAACCATGTCACTTGGGAGACAAGAAACACAGACTTGACTCGCTTTTAGGCAGTTGGGTTAAAAGATCCAGACGAGACTATTTTATACAATTCCCTTCTGAGTTTTCTCTCGTGATCTTTGAAATAGGGGCAAGTAAGGGACCGTTCATAATTTATGGCTAGGGGGTGTTGATGATTTTTACGGAGAAGCATGTACAATGTGAATGACACCCACCCCACCCCACCCCGCCTAAAGTTTATGTACAAAGTAAGTGACCCCTCCTGCATGTCATGTAAAAATTATATGACTCCCTCCCCCTTCCCATAATATTTAAGCATCAGTTTTAATAATATGTAAGTACAAAATTGAAGCGCCGGGATCAGCCTCGCGTGTGATACCCCATTCTTGTGGGTTTCTACACAGTGCTAAACGTCTGCTAATGGTACACAAGTATTTTCACGATACCACCCTACCCACCTTTCCCAAGCTGTGCCCCTGTGTTGTGGGAGGGGTAGGGATTGGTCCCTTGCACTCATATGCAGGTCGTTGTTTCACTGAATAGGATCAGCTAGTTGGGCTCGTGACAGCGTGTCAGCGTAAATCGTTACTCATATTATCAGCCACTGGTTGGCGCGGCCAGGACGCGATTATTTACAGTCGGCTGCGACTGCGGCCTTTAAAGGCACAATGTCACACATTTTCAACAATATTTTGGCTATTGGGGCATATGCGCTCTCTTTAGCTTCCTATTGATGCAATAAATGACTTATCCCTTACGACTTGCCTGAAATCAATAATTGAAACTTCGAGGCGAACAGCTTCCAAATAGAGAACACTTGTCTTATCTATATTTTGAATGTAAACGATTGCTCCGTACATCGAAAACTGTCGCACGCGGTGTTGTCGGTGTTTGCCGAACTTGTTTCAATCAAAAGTTGTGCGTATATGGTATTCGTAAAGAGCGCTCTCAGGGACAAAACTCTATGGGGTTCGCTTGAAATAATGTCCGGCCGGTAGAGGGCGCGAGAGTCGATTTAATGCAACGTTGCATTAATTCATTTGAATTTTTTAATTTCATATTGTAATCTAAATACGTAATTTTGTTTGGAATAAATTATATGTTATCTTCCCTGAGGGCTGATAGTTAGTATTACTGAGAGAAATGCATTACTTATTTTTAGAGAAGTGTGGTGTGATATAGTGCCTTTAAAGACACTGACACACATTTACTGATGCATCAACAACCACAGCGAATGACTAGCCATCAGCGATAATTGTAGGATTTTACGGCACTTCAATCTGTTTCCGTTGTTGAAAGTGTTACGTTAGTAACCGATGATCTACGTCAGGTTTTGCCGGGTAATCAGGAATGTTTGAACGGTACTACTCGAAAAAACGTTGTTGTTAGCAAGTGCATGTTGTTTTACGACACATATCACGCCTGTAAATAGTCGAGTTTTGCCCTGAAAATAGGCACGGTCGTTTTCACCGACGACCACCTCCGCTTATGTTCGACAGACAGACAGACGCTATATATAGAATGTACATTTTTTCAATTATATTTTACCCAAAACCTGTACAACATGTTCCTTGCTTCCTGTCGGTTGATTCATACTGATCTTTGTTATAACACAACACTAAATATATTTGAACAGTAAATAGCCAAACATTCACAAATCCTTTGCTGCGAACGATTAACGTTGGACACGGATATTACTCTGTACCCGTGACTCTAGCCTTGCTCCAAGGCTGTACTGAATGCTAAGCCCATGCATGTGTAGTAATTCTATCCTTTAAAGAGACAAGTCTAGATATGCGGATCGTAAGGAGGCCAGTCTGTTATTTATTTTGTTTAGAAATTATTATTTAAACTATAAATTATTACCTTAGAGGCTTGTGCAAGTCTACCGCCACTCATTAATCCTGTACTTCGTTAAACTGGACGATTTTGCTGTGTGTGGTACCGCCCGGAATTCGGGGATTCTCTTTAAAACAAATTTGCAGCGTGTTTGGGAAAGTGAATGATATTTACGCAAATGTCCACATGATCAGATTGAATCGTAAAAATTACGCTTTTCTTGGACAGGGTGCCGTTGTACAAAGCGATCTCAGCACTAGGGTGACCGTAACTCCCATACCTTAACATAGACCTAGGTAGTCTTAGCGCTAAGGTGATCGTAACTCCCATACCTTAACATAGACTTTAGGTAGTCTTAGCGCTAAGGTGATCGTAACTCCCATACCTTAACATAGACTTTAGGTAGTCTTAGCGCTAAGGTGACCGTAACTCCCATACCTTAACATAGACTTTAGGTAGTCTTAGCGCTAAGGTGACCGTAACTCCCATACCTTAACATAGACTTTAGGTATTCTTAGCGCTAAGGTGACCGTAACTCCCATACCTTAACATAGACTTAAGGTATTCTTAGCTTCGCTAAGGTGCTAAGGTGACCGTAACTCCCATACCTTAACATAGACTTAAGGTATTCTTAGCGCTAAGGTGACCGTAACTCCCACACCTCAACATAGACTTAAGGTATTCTTAGCGCTAAGGTGACCGTAACTCCCATACCTTAACATAGACTTAAGGTATTCTTAGCGCTAAGGTTGTTTTGTACAACAACACCCAGATTCACTTTCAACGATATCACTCCTGGCGCTGCGTTTAAAGTGTGTGAGTCACAGAGAATGAGTGTTGTTTTACGCCGCATCTAACGATATTACTTGTTTCCAGTGTAGGGATCAACAAGTTTCGTCATAAAAACATTGGTTGATAGCATGAGCAACTCTCCAAGATCACGATGACATACAATCATCTAGGTCACACAGTACGACCATCCGATCCTCATTTGTTGGCTTTAAAGACAATGTTCTTACTGCCCGTTACGTGATATTGCCGGTCAATAACTAAATGTAACATACAAGCCAATTCGCCCAATCGAACTAGGATCGTGACGGGGTTACGCGAGAGTAAGAAAGAGATTTGCAGAACGTGTTAAGGGGAAGCAACTCCATGGACCTTAACTACCAACCCATTGGAGACGCCTGAAAACATCGAACATTATCTAATTACATGCCCTGGGCATAACAACATAAGACATAATCTCATAAGTGCTGTACTTGAGGTTGATGATGTATATTCATTAGAAACAGTTTTGGGCCCCAATATCATGTATGGGTCTGTGCAACGGGCAGTTTTAGATTTTGTCTCGTCATCTGGAAAATATGATGTAATCTAGACAGGCTCTTGAATGGCTTAGACACATTTAGTTCTGTGGTTTTAAATCATTTAAACACTCTGTCTTCTGAACATACTGCTTTTTTTATTGAATGAGTATTTCATGTTTCAGAAATGGAAGTGATTTTTAATCCTTACCACAAAGCAGAGGTTATTCGACATACGTATACATCTATCCAAATTAATAGTGTTGTCGTTTCTTTTATCTTAACTAAACGATTCCTTTTGGCGATGAAATTACCTATGATTGTTTATTAAATCAAGTCAATGTGTTGGGCGCAAATAGGCCTCTTATTGGCCCACGTCGCCCTAAAACTATAAAACCAACCAACCAACCAACTACCAGCCCATTGCTTTTGAAATAATGAACGGATATATATTATAGTGCATATTTTAGACTCATTAAAAATTTCAGACTGCATTCAGTAAGTCAACAAAAGGGAAAATTAAAAACGACATTTATTTTTGATGTGTTAGATTAAGTGTATTTTGACAAGTTAGATTTTCTAATAAATAACCACATGTACGCAGAATGTCCAATATGTTACAATAATGTCCCTTTTTCAGCACATCTTGTGGGTTTCTTTCTTCTCTGTTTCATTTTTCACGATTCGATTCGATTCGATGCATATCACGATATGCTATCTTTAGTTATTTTCTTTAAAAAAGTATATTTTGACAGCAAGTAACAGTGTAAATTTTTCATAACCGTCAATTTCTAGTGAACATTAACAATGTTTAGGTCAACGATACATATCGCGATACGAACAAAAGTATCGATATATTTATCGTCAGATAAAGTATCGCGATTATCGATACCACGATATATCGTCACAGCTCTAGTAGAAGCTTACCTTGTATGCTATATTGATGTCATCCCAGTACAGCGTTTCGGAAGGGGGAGGGGAGAGTTTGAAAATGCTTGCATATAATTCGGGGACATTGTCAAACTAGTCGAGTAATTGTTATTTTTGTTGAAAACATGTCAAATAATGTAATGCAATTTTTTTCAGGAGAGACTATTTATTTGAGATGTATAAATGTTCAAGCTTAAGCTTTAAGCAGAACATGACGCTTTCCAATATAGGTTTGATATAAAATAGGATTTGGGAAATCATCCGAGCCACATATTCTATAGTAAACCAAGGTGTTTCGTGATTATTAAAAATATCTTCATGAGAAAACGCTCCGCCATTTTAGTTTGTAGTTGACCAAATCAAGTAACCATTGCATTCTTTAAAAACTGATTCCTTTATGTGAAATATTTACTATGCGTAGTTACAGACTACAGGGCGTGTTTGTTCATTGTGGACCGAGAGTTGTAAATTTATGAATTTATGCAAAAATACATTCACAGGATGAATCTAATTCGCTTATGCTTGATATAATTATATTCACAACTGCTTCTTTGTCAACACATCAGCTTGAAATATATTTTTTCACGTTATTTGTGAACATATTTTCATACATACAGTTACGCCATTGTACATCG